ATGAATTGTTATGGTTTTTTATGCTTGATAGCTTCTTTTGTGATATTTCTGAATCATGGAAGAGATTTTGAATTTGTGTATGATGAAAAATGAATCTCGAATTTAAGAGAGCAGAGAGAATTTCTGTGGATATTTCTCTGTGATTCTTTTAGAAATTGGAGAATGAGATCGATTCACAGTGAGTTTATGTTTTATATTTCTGTAATTTTGAAAAACAATTAGGGATTTAGACAATCTTATCCTTAGATCCTGAAAGTTTGTTACAAGGAATGGAGGGTGAGGATCTATTATGAGGTTTAGCTTTCTTGAGGAGTTTTGTTGAGTTGTAATATCAATTTAATATTTACTCTATGTTTTTGTTTCCTCATATTTTGTTGTTCCAATTTTTTTATAATATGTTGAGTTGTCATATTGATAACAGGTTTGTTCATCCTAAACTGATTTTTTGCTTTTATTATGATTCTTCTTGTTGTTTGGGCTGGAAATGCGATATTTGTACTTGTTTTTTACTACAGTGAATGTAACAATGATGTTATTTTACTCAGTGCCTTGTGTAGTACATTACTTTTTAGTCCTCTATTGTGAACCAAGATTGGTCTTTCTTGTGATTTGTAGTAGAGGGAATTTGACCCATGATTAAACTTTGCAATTCTAATTTTGTATAAGGCTTTATTGTTGCTTAAATGTGATTGGAAACTACCCTTAATTTTGATTTCTTACCAAACTCTAATGATGAAGTTAAAAACAAGAAAACTTTTAGTGTGAAAGCTAATTCTTATTCATGTTTTGGTCTTTTGATATCATGCTAACAATTTTATTTTTTTTCTGTTTCATGAACAAATGATGGATGAGCTTGAAAAAGCAATGAAGAATGCTTGAAGAAGGATGAGAGAATCCACTTTAAGATGAGTCTGAGGCAATGGCTATAGTGAGCTTGAAGATTGAAGAAGAATAAGTCTTATAGGGAACTTGAAGAAATGAAGATAAAGACCTCATTAGCAAATTTAGCACTTATGAATTTAGAATGCTTTGATTAGGTTCTTTGTAACAAGAAAAGCTTGTAATCGTTAAGCACTTTAGAGGTTTAAATCTTGAAGAAAGATATGAATGAAATCTTTGTAATTTTCAACCTCTTTTGTCTTAAGTCATGTATTGAAAAAAACTTTAAAACAAAATAACTTTTCTTGTAAGCCTTAGTAAAACATGCAGATTTGGATGAATGGATTTTCTTTGAATAAGTCTTGCTACTTGTTTCGAATCAAAAAACCTTCCATCTTAAAAATATGAATCCATTTGCTGAGTTGAACCAAAATAATCACTTGGACGAGTTTTGAACAAAACTCTTAAGAACTTGAAGGAAATTGAATAAGCATAATGACTTTGAAGCATTGCCTTTTGATCTGTACCTTATTTTTCAAGAAATCCCAATGACCAATCTTAAAATGTTTGAATCTTTGAAGCATTGATCCAATTAATTAACTTGAACACATTTAAAAGATCGAATGAATACTTTTACATAATGAGTTCAAATCAATTCTCACTTATTAAGGAAACCACAATTCCAAATCTTAAGTCCCTGTTAACTTGCGTTACGAGAAACAATCAATTAAAAGAATAATGATGATATTTAGAATCCATAAATCGTATCTTGTAACACAATGACTATGCCTTTAGGAATCCTATGAAAATGAATATGGAACTTCACATAGATGAACACCTTGACATGAAATCTACCAAACCTCAGTTGAATGCCAGATTAACAAGTTCAAACATCACAAACTCAAACACCTTAATTCCTATTGAAAAAGATAGGATATAGATGGTCAACTTCCAACCTTTGGTACACTTTAATCATTTGATGAAATAGTGAACACTTTGAGAAGTCTTGTGGCCCGAGAAGCCTTGGTAGCCTTAACCAAAAGAAGAAAGAGGATATGAGATCCATCTTGGATTGATTGACGACACAATCAAATTCCATTGCTTGAAGAGAGCTTGAGAAAAAAAGAACCTTGATCCCATCACAATGCATGAATTTATATGATGAGACAAGCCATATAAAGTAAATGAAGAGGGAAAATTTTGGGGTGCAACAACTGCCACTATTCAATCATCTTAAACTTGATAAGTGAGAAAAAACGACAGCTTTCGAATGTTTAAAGTGGAAGAGGATTGAACATAAAAAGAACCTGAAAATTTGCACTCTGAAGAATAGGTAGGAATATTTATGATTTTTCCATTGGATGCCTCTACTAACAAGCTTTGACAGATAATGGTTTGATATTCCCGAAAGATTTCCATAGAGGAAAAAGAAGTTATTTTGCCGATCTTCCAAGGAGAACAAAAGGTGAAGCGGTGCTTAACCAAGCATACTCGCAAAAGATGAATCAAGGTGAAGTTTCATGAATGAAAGACACTATAAAAGATGAAAAAAAGTTGAACAAATAATGGTTGAGGAATTGTATGTCATAATCTGCAACTCAGGGTTAGAAACTCGCGACTCAACAGTCGGAGAAGAATTAAGTTGACAAGTCAGGGGTTGGAAACTCGCGATTCAGGGATCGAAAAAGAAACTAAACTGACAAACTCGCGACTCAGAAGTTGGAGAAGAAATAAACTAGCAAACTCATGATTTAGAGATCAAAGAGGAAAAAATTTTACAAACTCACGATTTAGGAATTGGAGAGGAAATGAATTAACAAACACACGATTTAGAGATCAGAGAGGAAACAAATTCGCAGACTAGTGACTTAGGAATAAAAAAGGAAACAGATTAACAAACTCACGATTTAGGATCGGAGAAGAAACAAATTTGACCACCCGAGAGTTGAATGTATGTCAGGCCGAGGGAAGACATACGTATAGAAGAGACTAGATTCCAGAAAAAAGCGCCAGGGCGGAACTGTCGTGAAAACAAGGTAAACGAGTAACCACTCGACTTAAGAAGATTAGTAACCACTAGGCTCTTAAGATTATTGGGAAAGACTAGTAACCACTAGACTTGAGAAGATACGAATAAACATTGGATCTACAAAAAGGATACCAGTATCAACTGGTCTCGAACAAACTGGAACAATGCCTTTCTGAACTAAATCCATTAGAACGTTTAACCAAACGCTAGGGGTCGAGTGAAGGTAACGAGTAACCACTCGACCTTAAGAGTACTACCGAGGATATGCCAGAGAAGAACTGGATCACAGACTAAGCAAAGAGTAACTACTCAACTTAACAAGGACTAGTAACCACTAGATCTGGGAGTACTCAACAGGATACCAATAACCATTGTATCCAAAATATACCAGTATTAACTGATCTCAGCCAAATTGGAATAGTGCCTTCTGAACCAAAACCATTAGAATGTTTAACCAAACGCTGGGGGTCGAGTGAAGGTAACGAGTAACCACTCGACCTTAAAAGTACTACCAAGTATATGCCAGGGAAGAACTGGATCACAAAATAAGCAAAGAGTAACCACTCAGCTTAACAAGGACTAGTAACCACTAGACCTAGGAGTAACCAACAAGATACGAATAACCATTGGACCCAAAACAAGGCGAACACCTGATAGCCTCAAACCGAGGAGAATCAGTACCCACTGAAACTGACCAAAGAATTAAAGAGACAGAGAAACAAGTAACCACTTGATCATGGGGTACCTAGTAACCACTAGAAACTAACGAATACCAAAACATTACATTCTAAATTAGGTGACAAGTATCAGACTTAACCTTGATAGGAATTGATAACCATCAGACCTAAGGCAAACGAGTAACCACTCGACTCACGAAGACTAGTACCCACTAGGCTCTTAACAATTTTTGGAAGGAATAATAACCACTAGACCCACATTACTAGTAACCACTAGTTTTAAGAAATGTTATGCTAGGGAAGAATTCGATCCCAAGCGAGTAACCACACGACCGAAAAGCGGGATACTGATGATAAAGACCTTGCTGGGGACATTATCCGAGTTTAGCAAATCCATTATGGAAAACAGAAACAATAATGGCTTATGTTCCGATGCATGTTTGAATTATAATTTATTTTTTATGGAGTAATGTTCCCAAAGAGAATAGAAACAAGACACTTTGAGGATGCAATGCGATGATGCATGATTTAAATGTTTCACCGAGAAACAGCCAATCGAGAAGCCAACCACCAAAAGGCTGAGACCTGATAGGATTTGGAAAACCAAATTTCCGACTTTACTGGGGAGAAGTAAACATGTTGCACATTCCAAACGAGGACGTCACAGGGGTTTAAACATTGTCTATATCATGCTAAGTTTAATGGAGGTTGTTAAGGCTCTTAGTAAGCAATAACTTAGAGTTCAAGTTATTGTAAGTCCACCATTGTTGAGATGTGCCTCATGGAGAGTACTATGGCCATGTGAAGTTAGTTATTCTATTAAAAGGTTGATAAGACCAGTTAGATAGCTTAGCAACTATATAAATATCAAGGTTTATTAACTCACAAAGGATATTCAATGAGAAAGTTTTCACTTTTACTCCCTTCTTCTCCATTGAACTCTCACTCTTTCATCATGTTCATTAAAAACTTCATGAATATAAAAAATTATATAGGCTAATTTAATAACCATGTTTTTTTCAAGTAGATTAGTGGATAAACTCATAAATTTCAAAGATTGAGAAGTTGGAAATTTTGAATTCAAGTTCAAACCTTTAATAATGTCTTTACAACCATGATTTTAAATTGTGATTATTGCAATTGCAACCTCAATATTGTTGGTATGGTAGCTTCTGCAACAGCATCAAACCACAACCATAACTACTTAGTTGTATTTATCTTAAAACGAATGCTACCATACCACATAACATTATTGAATACAAAATGATATCTAGTAGAAAATCTACCAACAATAAGCTGATAAACCATGGGGAGTTGCAGAAAGCAGATAATCAAAATCAACTTGCAGCATGCAAAATTGTATTACATACATACCAACAATTAATTTTCATCTATCTACATACGAATGTATATATCTAGTTTCCATAATCATAACTAAAATCAGAAATCCCAACCATAGCAGAAAGAACTTGAGAAACAATATAAAACCCACCTACAAAAATAGCCACAATCAAAATAGCAGTGATTGGATTCTTGAGAAGCTCAAATATAGGCACCATGATTGTATAAATAGCACCTGTACTAACAGTCAGTGCATACAATCCATACCTTCTAACATTGTCCCAAAACTCCTCAACAAGTGGCCCTTCAGGTCCCAAAGCCAATGCCTTATGTTCATCCATTCCACCCAAAAGCAACAAAACTCCAAAAGAAACTGCTCCTATTATCACAACCCTTGAATTTTCATTTTCAAGATTTTCATGAACTTGAAGTTTCATTGGTGCACTGTCCATAATTGGAGTTTGTTTTCTGAGTTTTACAGCAGCAGATTTTGAAGGTGTGTGTTTCATGTTTTTGATGCGTAGCACTTTGTTTGGTTTGATGAATAGTTGATGGTTTTTTGGAGTGAAAAGAGAACAAGAAGGGTGAGGGGAATTTGGAAGATGAAGCTTTAATTTCAGGCTAAGATTTTCCATCTTTTTTTTCCTCCTTAGTTTTCTTAGAGCTATGGCTCTCACATATGCAGATAATCTTTAAAGTTTATTCAACTTGTGTGGATGTAAATGAAGGTGTTTAGAGCAATCCATACCTTATCTTCATTTGTTTATATTTTAAGCCTTGTTATCTTATCTTACATATATGTCCTATAATTATCTCAAGTTTCGGTTCTACTAAAAAATTTCATTAAATTTTAGTGTTCTAAAATTTTTTGGTCATGACTTTTGATCATTACCATAAAATGAATTTAACAAGAGCTAAAGGTGTTAACTACATGTATTATTTTTGTGATATGCTTTATATTACTTAGTTTTTTTTTTTTTACTTCTAAAGAAATTCAAGAAGTTTTGGTCTTCAGAATCATAAAAATATCATTTAAAACATAAAATGTGAATATTTATTAAAAAAATAGAGAATAAAATTGATACCAAAAAAAAATTAAAGAAACAAAGTTTAAAATACATTTTAGATGGACTAAAACTAACTGTTTATGTATTTAGAGAGACAAAAATATTAAAAGTATAACATATAGACCGAAAGGAGACAGAAGAGGTACTTTGTCACAAAGAAAACAAGCAGAAGAGGTATTTTGTCACAAAGAAAACAAGCGGAGAACAAGTTAAATGAAACCAATCATCTATATAAAAAATAAAGCAAAAAATATGACAACAAATTGATCAGAAGCACCAAAAACGGAGAAAGGAGCTAGATTCCTCAAACAAGGACTAAATAAAATGAACATTGATCTCCGCCTAAATAAGAAGAACACATCAAAGGAAGGACTAAGACACTCAAGCCACTATAGACTCAGAGAGAAAGCAGTAAAGTTATTCATAGACCTACCAAGACATTATTTTTAAGCCAAGTGGATGCTCATGTCTTCCACCTCCTTTGAAGTCACCAAGTTACCAGAAAATACTATATCATTCTAAGATTTCTAAATCGCCCAAATCGTAATTAATCCTAGACATATCACAAAGAGAATAGAACATATGAAAAGAATCACACGATCACTAGGTAAAACCAAGCACCACCCTAACCAGCTAAAATCCATATACCAAACATACACCACTACCTCACAAGTCACAAAAAGATGAAAGGACGACTCAATAAGTCTTGAACAGTAAGGGCATTTAACAACTCCCGAACCCAGATGGATTTTTCTCTTAAGTATGTTCTCCTAGTAGGAATCCAGTCCTAAAAGAGCTTATAGGAGAAAATAATTACTTTGAAGGGGGCCCAACTATTCCAGATACTAAGAAGAACCGACACTACAAACAAGTCCTGAGGATCACTAGGAAGCTCCCTATTATGGAGGAAAGAATATGCAAATTACGCAGAGTAAGAATCATATTTAGAATGACGCCACCACGATTTATTAGGCTGAACTGATGGGATAAAATACCTAATCACCAAGAGCATATTAGAGATCAACTCTAGCACATGCTCAAATAGGTGGATTCTTCTCCACCTAAGTTCCTAGAGTCATGTCTCACTCTCTCAGCTACCAACTTCCCCCACAAAATGTTCTTTCTGCTCAAAGATATAAAAAAGTTGAGGAACGTAACTCTAAGAGGAGTGACCCCGCCCAAGGATCACTCAATACAACGAATAAAAAATTTATGACAAAGCTTTCATCTTGAACATGCTAAAAACCGAGAGTATATGTCTTGGGAGCGTCGTGTTTGATTTTTTTATAAAATAAACAACATGTTACTTCGGCGTTATAAAAAACCAACGTAACACAACTATAAGTGAGCGTCAGTTTTTTATACATAAAAAATAATTAACATTTTTCCTCGATTTTTGATAGAACCGAGGTAATATAGCTATAAGGTATCTTGCTTCGAATCCACGTTACCGCATTTAAAATAATTCAACGATTTATCACTTGACGTCTTTTCCAGATTCCGTGTTTTTCTTTGTTAATTAGTAATTCTCAAAATCTTTGTTATCAATAAATAAGAATAGGAAATAATAGAAAAAGAAAAATATTTCATTGATAATAAAAAAACAAGACAATAGAGAAAACTATTTCACATATTCAAACTTCTCAGTCCACTCAACTTGAACATTATTCCTAACTATCCCTAACTTAGAGAAAAGTTTAGAAAGAACTCTTCTATATAGTATGAGGAAAGTCATTTCCTCCTGATAAATCTTTATCATTCTCTTCAAGAAGTTAAAAATAGTAAGAGGAAGATTAACTCGGACGTTGTAGGTGAGGAAGAACAAGAGATGCTTGTTATACCAAATAAGCGTTTCCAATTGTTTCTCTCTTGGGCAGAGATTTGCCACTAGAAGTTGAAACCAAAATTTTATAATAAGGAGTAGAGAAGCTGGACCGGCGGGCTTATCTTAGTTGGCATAAATTCGATGAAGGTTGGTTGAGTAGACATTGTTGAATTCATAATGTTCAATGCAACTACACGTCTCTTAACAGTTGATTATCATAGCAATCAGTCATGGAGTAATGAAGAAATGAGAGCCATTGACATATGACTGAATGACTTCATTATGACCAGTTGGCATAACGGAAGCATTCTTCTAGAACTCTTTAACGAGATTAGTGTATATGAGGACATTTATAATGTGAAAGTAACCATTCAAATTTTGTTTGTTAATAGCTTTCCTTAGTTTAAAATGATCGAAATCATTGAAATCAACAAAATTTTTATTGATAATGAAAAAATGATTTGCATCCATTTTTGAATAAGAAAAAAGAAACTTTGAAACAAGGAAACAAGACAGAGAGTTGTAAATGAGATGTTGAAAAATAGGAAAAGACTTTGAAACAATGTTTGAAACCACAAAGAGTTGGTAATGAGACGTTTAAATAGCTCAAAAGCCTCCTTGAAAATCCAAAAGAGACACTTGAATATAATTGATCATTGCTATTCTAGTGATATGATTCCAATGCATGTGCTCCGCGTTTTAATTAGTTTTTAAAATAACATATTACCTCAGGTTTTATCATAACCGAGGGAAAAACAAAACTATACCCTCTCTTTTAATTATATTTTTTATTTGTAAATTAAATTAAATGATCTAACATGTCAGTTTTCATAATAACTGAGGGAAAATTTAGCGTTAAAATTGAGATATTTATCATCGTCCTTAATTAAATTCTTGACGTCTATTTCATGACTATCAATGCTCAAGACATTATCATTAGTGATCCGCGTGAAACATAAATAACTTCTATTATAAAAGCATTTTGAATATAACAAATTGATAACGAAACATCATGAAGCGCTTGAAACTATCCTCCACTTTAAGGTTTGCAAGAGTATTTGCCATGAAGAGTTCTCTATGATGGATTGTAAGAGCAGAAAATTAATTGGGTTTAAGGTTTGTATTCTAAAATGTTTATTCGAGCATAAATCATTTAGTTATCAAACTCTTTTTTTGTTTATTTCAGAAACAAATGCAAGGAAAAGTCATAGAAAATGGTTTGCATCCATCATTTGATCTACCCCAAAATCATATAATTTGAAGATCTAAAATCTATGTCTTGGAGAATTTTTTTCCTGTATAAATAATGTAACATTCTGGGTAAAAATGTAGTTTGTAAACAAATTATTTTATTAATTTTTTGTGTAAGCAATGTAACTAGTTTTAGTTTAAAAAATTAATTACCCATCGGTTTTATTGATAAACCGAGATATATGAGACACTGGTATTGTAAAAAATAAAATCATGGTGTTGCATTGTTTTCAGAGAATGACTTTGTATCATTTATCTAACACACATTACACCTACATTGATATTGCTCGGCCTCAGATAGGTGCAACTTCTACATAAGTTCACTTACAATTGCTTAACATAACGCTAAATTGTCCCGAATCGGTTGATTAACAATTAACACTAACATTAACTTAATATTATTGTGCTAACTTTACTTTTTCCCACTTTTATATTAATTTCATTTAATTTCCTGCCATTTACTTTTATTGCATTTTAATTCTTGCCATATATTTCAAGCACTTTACATTTCATATCATTTACATTTCATGTCATTTATTTTTGTGCCTTTTTCCTTTTGTCCCTTGGGCTTTTCTTTTTCTTTTGATCAAAAGACATTAATAAAGGCAAAACCCTAAAAAACTTTTAATGCGTTCTTGAGGACTTTTGGTTACTATCATTTGCTTGAGGAATTTTTGACTTTGGACCTCAGACTTAGGACTTAGTTTTCCCCTTGTTTAGAGTGACTACTTGATACTTGGAATTTCATCTAATACATTGAATTTCATCTGATACATTGTATTTCATCTGATACCTGAGTTTCATTTGATACATTGAATTTCATTTGATGCTTTAAGATTCATCTACTTGTGTGATTGTTCATCTGTTGTGTTTGACTTTAATTCAAAGGGAAAGGAATACTTATTTTGACCAATGTCAAATGCTTGCTCTTCTTGTAGTTAGTTCACTTACACACACAAAGGCTTTCTCTTGGGCTACCTTACAACAAGACCATTTATTTCATGTCATTTGCTTTATGCTTTAAGATTCTCTCTTCTTTAATTTTCAAAAATCTTATCCCTATTTCAAAACTTCTTGTTTTCAAACTTCATATCTTTTCTTAACAAACCTTGACTTTGTCAAATGATCCAGAAAATATTTTTCTTAATAAAGTCTAAAACACTTAAGCATATTCAAACTCTTTCAAAACCCCTAAAAAAGATAAACTTCATCAAATTTCTTTTTTGTGCCTTAGTGCACTTGCATAACCAATTAAGCGTACCTGAATCTTTTTTCTGAGTGAAGATAACACATTCCCCTTGCATAACCAACCTCGTACCTGAATCTCTCTTTTGTTTTGGTTTTAAAAACTTTTTATGGGTTTTTTCGATATTTTTCCTTTGGAAACAATAAAGTCCGGTGGCGACTATTGCTTTCTTTTAGTTTAGTTAATTAATAGCTTAATCTCAATTTTTTTTGCCGCGGTAGACAGCCACAACGCTAGGAAAGCAAT